TAAGCATTCCTCTGAACACTCCTCTTGGAGAAGACAGAAGAGCTGATGAGCATCCATCAACCAGCCTTGCAGAGAAGCAGCTACCTGCTCCGGAGCTTGCCAGGGACTGGTGCTGTGTCTCCGAAATGAGGAACTATTAATTGCCATAGATTTTATGTGAAAAACCTACGAGGAGGCAGGGAGCAGTTGCAAGAAAGAGAAGTTGTGCTCATTCCTCACTTCTGGTCTTGTTGAATTCAACCACATCTGTGGAGGTCCCGAGGAAGGAAGGTCTCCTGCCTGTGTGCTGGATCCGGTCCCTGCTGGGTTTTTGTGTAGGACTGGGGACATCCTTCCCTGCCTACAGCAACAGAGCAGAGTCCTCTGATGCTGCCAACTGGCATCATGTGGTTCAGGTGCCAACGGGAATGTCCATCTCCCAGCATGGTGTGCTGCCCCTGGGACATGTCCCAAAACCTTCTACAGGACACCTTCTTCATGGAGCAGCTCATGGTGATGCTGACTTTCAGAAGTGTCCTGTTTCCACCTGCCTTTGCTGCCTTCCCTGGCTGATGCTGGTGGCTGTAGGTTTGTACCATCAGACCTGGGGGCATACAGCTGTCAGGGTCTGCAGCACCTCGACTCAGCACCTGTGGGATCCATCCCTGACAAGCCATGCACGCTCTCCCCGCGGAGACATACGTTTTGCCAGCAGCAGCCCAAGCGGGTCTGTGCTGTGGGAGGCTGCTGGGAGCATCAGTGCTGTTTTCTGGGGGTAACCTTGGGGTTTTCAGGGACTCTCTCCCACATGGAGCAGGGAGTCAGTCCTCGAGCTGCCTGGATGCTCGCTGCCCACGCTGCCCTGCTGTGTGCTGGCAGACCTGGATGAGGTGCTGCCGCAGCTGGGGAGACAGGAGCACACACAGCCACCTGCCAAAGTGATCTTCAGCAGCCCGACTTGGAAATGGCACGAAATAATTTCTGTTCCTCCTGAGGAGTCATTTACCGACATTTTACATGGGGCTGTAAGTGCACAGAATTACTTGCTGCCTTTCAGGACCTTTAAAATTATCTCCATTGCAGAGGAAAATTAAAGCAATGGAAGAATAGGGACCTATCTTTTATAGTGCATTAAAAAATACCCAGTCTGAAGGTTACTGAACCTGTGCTTTCTGTAAGGGAGAGCTAATCCAGACAATCCCCAGCAGTCTTTTTACTGCTCCACTCTGATCTCCCTGGCACAAAATCCATGAGCAGATTATCTTGGGAGCAGCAATGCTGATAAGCAGGGGGACTTAAGGCTTTTGGACTTCTTTTTAATTAGTTCTATAGTTTTTTTTCTGTGCACACCTAGATTTCTCCCAGCGTAGAGCCTTGCTGGGCTTTCTAATGGCCATGAAAGCTTCCCTGACTTTGGAAGGTAGGGAGCCCACTCAGTCATCGCTTCGTTCCTCTGCGCTCTGTGCCGAAGCTTGTGGGTCCATGCTGCAAACGCCGGTGCCGCTCTCGTGTCTTGAGCATCTCTTGGTCTGAGAAACTCTTCTTCCTGGATGTCCCAGGCCACCGAGGGGGTGGATCTGCCTCCTTTCATGGGCCAGGCGAGGGCACGTAGCCTGCAAGGACAGGGGCTGGGTAAGGGAGCGGAGCACAGATTTATCACTGCGTTTTCCCTTTCATCCCGCAGGTATAAATAGAAGCTACTTCAGCCTCCCCGTCACCCTGGGCGCTGATGGGAAATGTCAGCAATAAACAATTTCTGCCGACTCCACCAACAAGGGCGGTAGCGGCGCTGTGCCAGGACGCCGCGCTGCCCGCGGGCTCCGGGCGCGCTCGCCATGTCCCACGGCTAAGCCCGCAGACGCATCTGCCGGTTATGCTGGCCTCTAATAATTTTGTGGCCCGTTGAATTAATCAAAATGCCCAAAGGTCAGTGGGAGAAGAGGCCGCATTCCTGTGCAAGTCAGATTTATTTTCCTTTTTAGAGCCTGTGTTAAATGCCAGATCCTGGCCAGCACCTTCCCATCAATCTCTCCCAATTCATAGAGAGGAAAGAGGGTCAGAACCTGCTAATGAGTTCAGCTCTCCTAATGGTTATTTTATCATTGGAGCAGAATCGTAATAATAATGATACATCCTGCCTGCTGTCTGGAGAGCGCAAAGCTGCCTTTGTAATGCCTGACAAAGACAGTTATTTATATTATTTTATTTGTAGCCTGTGTGATTAGAGGGCAGCGTTCAGAATAGCCCAGTCGAGTTAAATACGTCTCGTAACAGCGCTTCGAGTCTAATTGCTGCCCTTTTCTTTTCTAGGCACTCGCTCCCCTAATTAAAAGCATAATCGAGTTGCATCTCAGCTGCGAGGATGGGTGGGAGGAGAAAAGCCATCAGAGAAGGGCGGTTCGGCCGCTTTGTGGAGGGCCCTGTTCGGAGCCGGGTGCGTTCCTGGGTGGCTGCTGCAGCCCGGAGGCTTTGGGCCCGATCCTGCTGGCTGGCGGTGGTGGGTCTCCCACAGCCAGGGCTGGATGTGCTGCTGGCGGTTTTGCAGGAGCGGTGAGAGTGATGAGACCCATGCCAGTGTTTTGGTGTTGGCGTGCCTGGCCACTCGCTTGGCACGCTTCCCTCTCCGGGAGCACAGGGCTGGCTCTCCAGCTGGGCTGCGGTCCTGGGGGGTTTGCACGGAGCTGTTGTGGGCTGCAGGGTGGCTCCCACCCCCAGATTCAGCTCCTGCCATCTCCTCAGGCTCCTGAGCAACCCTGAGGCCAGTCTGCC